TAAAACATAAACAAAGTCAGCTGGTGTGTCTTCTTCTTCCGGTTTTTGCAAGTAATGGCTAATTTCCCGTTCGTTTACTTTTTTGCTTTTTTATCTCTTTGGGAGAGAATTTTCGCTTACACTCTTGATTTTGATTGTTGGCTGGTGTTGGCTAATTTTGTTATCGAACGCAACTTATTTATATCAAATTTCCTACTAAGTCGATGCTACTATAGTCGAAGATATCACATATAAATTTTGGTCTCTATTGGATACGGATAAGGCATGTCGCACCGGGGGGGCAAAGTTCAGATTTTTCCATGGAGACTGAAAAATTAACATTAACTTTCTTTTTACCTAATCGATACTACCATAGTCGAAGATATCACCCCTTTGCGACACGCCTTAACCGATTCAAATCGGGACCAAAATTTATATGTGATATCCGTGGCCGTGGTATTACCGATTGAAGGGGTGAGACTGAAAAAGAACGTTCATATAACTTTTAAGGACCACCCTAATGTGCATACATAGATATGTATGTACGCATATAGTACATACAGATGTACGTACTAAGGTGTACGCCGACAGTCTTTGCGGCGGCGGCGTGGTCAACTTCAAATATAATCGGCGGCGGCGGCGACACCGGCGCGTCATGAAACGCCGGCGCTACTGCCCACAAGGTAGATTCCAAAAAGCCATTTTAAATTTTACTATTGTTACTTCCTACTAGAATTAAAATTTTGAGTGCCTGGCGCTGATGGATGGGCGAACAGAAGATGTGCTCTATTGATTCGTATGTACTATTTGAATTTAAAGAAATAAAAAAATTTAAAGAGTTAAGTTTTTGGAGTAATTGATGTCGCTATTAATAAATGTTTGTAATAATCTTATCAACCGTTATGTTAAATTACGGGGTTCTTACGATTTTTTGCAGAACAGGTCTTTTTGATCCACTGTTTAAAAAATGGCTTATAGATGGTTAAAATTTCCACTAAAATATTAAGCGCCACATTTTCCTAAGGATAACCGAAAGTAATGAAAAATACTACTAATTTCCACCAAGAAGGGGGAACCTTAACCCAGTGTAAAAAACATTGCAATGCGAAGGAGCAAAAAATCTGTTTAAAAAATATTCAATACTTTATTAAAGAAAAATAATGCAATAAGGGCACTTCTGTTAAAACTGCTTTCTGAGATATTATCGTATGTTTTTTAGTGTGTGAAAACTTTCTTGTTGTTGTAGTAATATGAAAAAAAGGAATATTGTGATATTGAAAACAAATTTTATATATTCTGGAGTAGTAGTTCCTTCAAGCGATGTATTTCAATGTGCATTCATCATGGAAATTTTGTACAAAATTCCTTAGGCGCCGAACGCCGCCGCCGCGGCTGCGGCAGCGTGACTCGGCGGCGTATACCTCTAGTATGTACACACGTATACAAGAGCTGATAAAGAAAGGGTGCTATTTCTGATAACGTCGAACTAATTATTCCTTGACGTCCCCATAAATTTGTGGATGTATGTAGTTTTGCAATGTTTTTCTATAGTAGATACTTGTATACGAAACCCGCTTTGAATGTAACGTATACGTACATATGTATATGCCTATGAATTCATGCATGTACGTAACTGCATTCATACATTTGTTTTATACATAAAGCAGGGATTACACGATTTGTACATTTTGTACGGTTCAGCTCAATAACAACTTTCTAAACACCACTCTGTAACTGTAAAAATGTACAAATTGTGTATTCTCTGCTTAACACTGTCCAAAAAAAAAAAATTTGCGGCAGAGTCAATAAGAGCTGATTCCCATAGATTTTTGTACGCAGAATCAGAATCTGACCTTGGAAATTTCTAGGCTCTAGTTTTTGAGATATTTTGACTTAAAGAAACGATTTATTAGAATATTTTGAACTGTTATTGTTTTTAAAACAGAAAACAAAAAAGTTTTTTAAAACTGACTTAAAAAAAGGACGAGGTTGTTAATTCGTCGGAATATATGTATATATATCTATATATATATATATAT